TGTGTGTGTGTGTGTGTGTGTGTGTGCGCGCGCGCGCGCGCGTGCCTGTGTGTAACCAGGTCTTCATAGAAATTAACACTGCCTTATTTGTTGTCTTAATAGAGAATTTACTAAAACAGTGAAGCGCCCATTTGGAGTGAAGTACAATCCGTACACTCAGAGCATCCAGGTTCTGAGAGATGCCAAGAGCATAACCAGTGCTGTGAATGACTTGCGGTATGACCTTGATGTCATCAGTGATGCCCTTGCTAGAGTCAGCAGGCAGCCCAGTGTGTGAGTGTCTGCAGTCGGAATCCAGAAAGCAAATGAGCATCAGTTCAGAGCCAGGGCTGCCTCTTGCTTCCCCAGAAGACCAAAGTCTCTCATCTGTCTGTAATAAACCACTCACTGTCTTTGCAAATGTACACCTGGATTCTTTAGCCACTGCTAACTTCTTTCATTTTGTCTTTTGGCACCTGCTTAGGTAAATATAATTCACACACCATGTGACTCACCAAATGCCCATTTAAAATATTTTATTTCATTAAAATATAGTTAAATCATTCTCCTCCTTCCCTTTCTTCCCTTCAACCCTGCTCCCCAATATCATGGCCTTTTCACTGATTTGCATTTTTATCGAGCAAGTTGTGTGACACTGGTCAGAGCTGGTCTCATCTTGATGCTGTTTCCCCAGTTTGTCATTAGCCCCTGGCGATCATATCTGTATTTGTTCTCTGTAACCAACTTTGTGACAGCTCAGGCATGTTCATACACTAGACTTATAGGAGACTAGCTGTCCCCATTGCTAGCATGGACAGAAGTGTAGAGGACTTGGTCCTACATCATGACTAGTAAAGAGCAAGCTGACTTCTAGTGCAGTGTCTGGCAGGGACATAGAAGTCACCAAGACTCAGCCAGGCATGGCAGCGCCTGCAATCCCAGTTCTCCCTGGCACTTTATTTCAAGGTGCCACACTAGAGCATAAATGAGAAGGCAGTGAGAGAAGGGTCAAGGGGAGCAGTTTGGGTCTGAGAGTGTAATTATGTGAGGACTGTAAGGACTGGAGCACAAGTGGTGTCAGCTGTGTAGCCTTAACATAAGCAGTTGTGTAAACTTTTCACTACTGTAACAAAGTGCCAGAGGCAATCGGCTTATAAACAGGAAAATTTCATTTTGGCTCATAGGTTTGGATGCTTTGATCCATTAGAGGTCGTTCCTGTGTTTTAAGTTGTGGTGAAGCAAGGCATGGTGGGAGAATGGGGCAGAGCAAAGCTATAAACTTCGTAAAGGGTAGAAAGAGAAAGAAGGAAGGATTGAGAGAAGGAAGAATGGGGAAGGAGAGGGAAAGAGGGAGGAATAAGGAGAGAGACAGAGAGGGAGAGATAGATGATAGACAGATAGACAGATAGAGGATAGATGATAGATATCCTACAGTACAGTTTAAGAGTTCACTACTACCAGGGTAGGATAGAGGACTCAGAAGTTAAGAGCACTAACTGCTCTTCTAGAGGGCCTGGGTTTGATTCCCAATACCCACGTGGTGGCTCGCAAACATCTGTATCTCTAGTTATAGGGGATCCAATGTTTTCTTCTGGCTTCCATAGATAGCAGTCAAGCATGCAAATGGTACACAGACATACATGAAGGCAAAACATAAAATGAAAAATTAAAGACCTCACTTCTGTTTTTCACATTAATAGTAAAAATATATACCATTGATCATGCTTCATTTAGAGCCCACTAGATTTTTTTACACTAGATATTTTTTAATCCTTTTAAGACTTCAGAGGAAATTGTGAAAAGCTGTGTTGTTGTTGGTCTTTCTTGTCAGATTTTCTTTGGGACTGCCAGCCCCAAATAATGACACAGAGACTTATTATCAATTATGAAAGCTTGGCCTTTAGCTTAGGCTGTCCCCAACTAGTTCTTATACCTTAAATTAACCTGTTTCTATTAATCTACATTCTGTCTCTGGCTTTTTACCGCTCCTCCATTCTGTTCGTACAACTTGCTCCACATCTGAGTGGCATCTCCTGCCTGCTAGATCCATCCCTGAGTTCCTCTTTGCTGCCTGGAAGCCCCCCTAACCTCTCCTGATTGGCTATTGACCATTCAGCTTTTTATTAAACAAATCACAATGACACATCTTCATGCAACACTATTTCATCCCATGCTATACAAGGAAGCAGACTGAGGAAAGGTAATTCAGCCATCTCAGATCTTTATAGACAACTCACAATAACAGCTACTGAGCATACACATGGCAGTGAGTAGATGCTAGTTCATCTTAAATCATTTGAAATACAGACCAGCTAGTTTGTAGACTGCTGGATTACCAGGAAAAGCACTGTGAAGAAATTTCAACAGAGAGCAAATAGAGAACCCATCTGCTGTGTCTGGTTGTTTTCATAGGACTTTGATGAGGCTGGAGAATCACAGTTAGTGGGTTTTAAAATGATGGTGCTGAATATTTGCTCTGACTAAAGCACTTTAAAGTAAATGGTAAAGCCACAGCCATATCCTCAGTAGCTTCAAGACAACAGAAATGTTTAGTGATGGAATTGACTTTGTCTAACCTCTAGATCATGATATTTGACAAATCAGAGATCCAAGAGTCTTAGAATTTTAAAATATCTAAGAATTTTTAAATAATTATTCAAACACCAGGAAGAATGGAATCAAAAAGCATGATTTGCAATTCTTTAGCAGAGAGCCATTCCTTGGCAACAGAAGCATGTTTGACTTTTTGAAGAAAACACAAATGTGAATTGTCAAAATGCCTATGTTCCGTAACTTCATGCTTTGACATTTGGAGTTACATAAGTAGCAAAATCATTGATCATTTGAAAGTTGGCATCCAGAGAAAGAAAAAAGCCAGGGCATCTCAAAAGCAATAAGTAACAGAGACCATGTGTTAATGTCCATGAAGTAGATAAAGATAGCTATGATCCATTTTACCATTGTCTTTATCACATTATGTAATGTACATTTATAATTTAAAAGTTTGTTATCCCCCTGGACAATAAACTCAGAATTCATGTTCTCAAAAGTGTGTTTTTAAAGTGCATTTTAAATTTTCATTGTGTTTGTATGTGTGTGTATCTGTGTGTGTCTATTAGTGTCTCTATGTGTGTCTTTGTGTGTATCTGTATGTGTGTGTGTTGTCTGTGTGTCTGTATGTCTGCATGTGTGTCTGTGTGTGTATCTGCATGTGTGTGTGTGTTGTCTGTGTGTGTGTGTCTCCCAGGAACCAAACTCTAGTTGTCAGGCTTGGTCACAGCACCTTTAACAGCTGAGCCATTTTGCTCCTCAAAAAGTATTTTATTTTTGTCAAACATAAATTAAAAACAGATTCAATTTTATGTTCACAGTTTTATTAGTTTAGAGACTAGCAGTGGTGATGGTTGGATCGGGAAGTACAATAAATTAGGGCAAAGGATGAAATATTCCACAGAGGAACCCATTACATTGTATATTAACTTAAAATTTTTTCAAGAAAATGAAAATTATAAAGTAAAAACTATATACTACTTCTTTAAAGTATATGGCTGTGAGCTACATTAAACTTGATCCTCATCACTACTTCCTGGGAAGGCTTCCCTCTCATATTTCTCCTCTGAATGTGAGCTATGTCTCCTGTACTGAGTTACTGGAGAAAATTAAGTCACAGGGATTCTTAACACAAAACATTAGGAAATCTCAACACCATGAAAAGACTAAAACCTAAGAATAATAGGAGAAGGAGAAGAAGTCCACCAAAAAGTCACAGAAAATGTATTCAACAATATCATAGAAGAAAACTTTCCCAACCTAAAGAAGGATATGCGTGCAGTGGAGAGGCTACCTTAAATGCCCTCCCCTGACAATAAGATTGATGACTAACTTGTATGTCATCCTAGATACTTCATCCTGCAGCTGATGGAAGTAGAAGCAGACACCCACAACTAAACACTGAACTGAACTGGAATTCAGTTGTAGAGAGGGAGGAGTGATGAGCAAAGGGGTCAAGACAAAGCTGGTAAACACACAGAAACAGCTGATCTCTCTGGGGAGCTCATGGTCCCCAGACTGATAGCTGGGAAACCAGAATAGACTGAGCCAGATCCCATGAATGTGGGTGTCAGTGAGGAGGCCTCAGAAATCTATGGGGCCTCTTGTAGTAGATATGTACTTATCTCTAGCATAGGAATGGACTTTGGGAGCCCATTCCACATAGAGGGAGACTCCCTCAGCCTAGACACACGGGGGGAGGGCCTAGGCCCTATCCCAAAGGATATGACAGACTCTGAAGATTCCCCCATGGGAATCTGCTCTGGGGAGCAGAAAGGGTCTGGGATAGGTAGGGTGTTAGTGAGGGGCAGGGGAGAAGGGGAGGAAGAGGGAACTGGGATTAACATGTAAAACAATCTTGTTTCTAATTTAAATAAAAAATGGGGAATAAAGGACATACCTATGAATATACAGGAAGCTTACAGAACACCAAATAGAGTGGAACAAAAAAGTCCCCTCCCACATAATAATCAAAACAATAAACATGCAGAATAAAGGAAAAATACTAAGAGCTGCATAGAAAAAAAGGTCAACTAACATACAAAGGCAGACCTATCAGAATTATACCCTATTTCTCAATGGAGACTATGAAAGCCAGAAGGTCCTGGACAGACATTTTGAAAACACTAAAAGACCATGGATGCCAACCCAGACTACTATTCCCATCAAACTTTCAATCACCACAGATGGAGAAAACAAGGTACTCCACAACAAAACCAGATTTAAACAGTATCTGTCCACAAACCCAGCCTTACAGAAAGTACTAGAAGGAAAATGCCAACCCAAGGAAGTTAGCTACATCCACGAAAACAAGGCAATAAATAATCCCATACAGCAAATCCTAAAGAAGGGAAACACAATACAATACCATCACCAACAACAAAACCAAAAAAATAACAGGAACTAACAATCACTGGTCATTAAGATCTCTTAATATCAATAGAATCAATTCGCTTATAAAAAGACACAGGCTAATAATAGAATGGATAAAAATCCAGGAACTATCCTGTTGCATACAAGAAACACACCTGAACTTCAAAGACAGGCATTACTTCAGAGTAAAGGGTTGGGAAAAGATTTTCCAATCAAATGGACCTAAGAAACAAGCTAGTATAGCTATCCTAATATCTAATGAAATAGACTTGAAACTAAAATTAATCAAATGAAATAAAGAAGGACATTTTATGGACCTGCCCAGATAGGAAGGACCTCGGTGAGTCTGGAAATACCTCACTGTTCCTTCCCCCACCACCTCCCTGACCTCTCCTGAGCCCTACTCCTGCCCAAGGTCCCCATCACCCCAGGATCTCTCTGGGCCTGCTGCTGCAGTCTGTGTTCCAGCCTGCATAGAGTGGACCTGCCCAGACAGGAAGGACCTCCTTGAGTCTGGAAATACCTCACTCTCCCTTTCCCCTCTGCCGCCCCAAACTCTGCTGAGTGAGGAGACTACCAGGAGAGGCAAGACCATCCATATCTGCAGACATTGGAGTTTTGGCCCCCACACACCACCGGGTGACAAGAGGAGATAGACCCACTGGAAGAAGAGCTGGGAAGAGGGCAGAATAAGAACACACTCAACAGAAAGACCAATATGACACCACTGGAATCTAGGGACTCCACACCAGCAAGATCTGAAAAGCACAACACAGA